TTAGTAGATATAAACGAATGAGTAGAACCCGAATCAATTAACACATGCTTCACATCTTGATACATTTTGGTGTTCCCTGGATGGACAGCAAACTTAGAACCATGAGCTTCCTGCAAAATCTTTTTCTTCAGCTCTGGAATGTCGGCCACACATAACCTTCCTTCAAACTTGAGTACTTGGTTTTCGATGGTATACCCTGGTCTCGGCTTTGTGCCAATTTCCTCGGCTATTTTCTTGAGGAAGTTATCCTCCATCTGTCTTATCTTTACTTCATCAACAATAGTCGGCTCCACTATTATCATGGTCAAACACGCCAAATTTCCATCTGACTTTCTGCTCAAAGCGTCGGCTACACTGTTAGCTTTACCCGGGTGATATTGAATTTGCATATCATAGTCCTTCAACAACTCAAGCCACCTTCTCTGTCTCAAATTCAATTCCTTCTGTGTGAATAGGTACTTTAAACTCTTATGATCTGTAAAAATCTGACAAGAAGCTCCATACAAATAGTGACGCCAAATCTTTAAAGCAAATACCACGGTCGCTAATTCTAAATCATGGGTAGGATAGTTCTTCTCATGGGGTTTCAACTGGCGAGATACATAAGCTATAACCTTACCCTTTTGCATTAATACACAACCCAAACCCTTATGCGATGCATCACTATAGACATGAAATTCTTCGTTACCTGATGATAGCACAAGTACTGGTGCTGTAACTAACCTCATCTTCAGTTCCTGGAAAGCTGTGGAAAGCTGACTCCCGATCTTTAGTCCATTCATACAGTGTTCCCTTCTTAGTCAATTGCGTCAATGGAATTGCAATCCTTGAGAAGTCTTTCACAAACTTTCTGTAATAACCTGCCAAACCCAGAAAACTACGAATCTCGGATACATTAGTCGGCCTCGGCCAATTTACTACGGCTTCAACCTTGCTAGGATCCACTGAGATACCCTCTTTATTAATCACATGACCCAAAAATGAGATAGTAGGAAGCCAAAACTCACACTTGTTAAACTTAGCATACAATTTTCGTTCTCTCAAAATCTGTAAGGCAATCCTCAAATGATTTTTATGTTCAGTTTCGCTCTTGGAATAGACTAATATATCATCAATAAAGACAACTACAAACTCATCTAAATACGGTTTGAAGACTCTGTTCATCAGATCCATAAATGCAGCAGGGGCGTTAGTCACTCCAAAAGGCATTACTAAAAACTCATAGTGGCCATATCTTGTTCGAAAAGCAGTCTTCTCAACATCCTTGGCCTTAACTTTAAGCTGATGGTAACCAGACCTAAGGTCGATCTTGGAAAAGACTCGTGCTCCTTGTAATTGGTCAAGCAGATCATCAATCCTAGGTAATGGGTACTTGTTCTTGATGGTGACCTTATTAAGTTCTCTATAGTCAACACAAAGACGGAGTGTGCCATCCTTCTTCTTAACGAATAAAACATGCGCTCCCCATGGTGAAGTGCTCGGCCTAATGAATCCTTTATCTAACAACTCTTGCAATTGCAATTTCAATTCTCTAAGTTCAGCGGGGGCCATCCTATAAGGTGTTTTGGAGATCGGCTGTGTTCCTGACACGATGTCAATAGTAAACTCTATTTCTCTATCGGTCAAGTGGCCAGGCAATTCGTCTGGGAAGACGTCGGGGAAATCATTAACAACTGGAATGTCGGCTAAATTAACATTTCCATTCTGATCACTCAATATACTGCACAAGTAGCCTCGACACCCTTTCTGGATTAACTTATAGGCCTTAATGGACGAAATCAAGTAAGGTGGGGGCACTACCCCTTTACCCTGGAAAATAACCTCGGCTAGGTTTGGGGGTCTCAAAGTGACACTTTTCGAAACACAGTTAATAGATGCATCGTTTGCGACTAACCAGTCCATCCCCAGTATAATATCAAAATGAGCTATGTCTAGAGGCATTAGATCTACTAACAATTCAACATTCTCAATCATAACAGCACATGCTCTGTAAATGGATGCAACAATCATAGATCTCCCAGATGGAGTAGATACAGACAACACATAATCAAGGGGCTCTAGTTCTCTATTAATTTTCTCGGCAAACTTAGTAGATATAAACGAATGAGTAGAACCCGAGTCAATCAACACATAAGCATCTTGGGAGCAAATTAGAAGTATACCTGATACTACTGCCTCAGCATTCTGAGTATCTCCTGGTACTAATGCAAACACTCTGCCCTGTCTCATCTGTCCTTTCCCAGCATTTCCCTTCTGAACGGAACCCGGGGTATTCTCAACTTTCTTGTTGCTATCGTCCCTTGGTTTGGGGCAATCTCTCACATAATGGCCCATCTCGCCACATTCATAGCAGGCTCCAGTCGTCCGACGACAGATCCCGAAATGTTGCTTCCCGCAATCCGAACACGTCGGTCTAGAACTCCCTTCCTGTCTTGGGTTACTGGTACTGCCCATGTTCATTTTCTTCTTGGTGCTCAGTTGGCCTTAGTGATTGTCATAGTTCTGCCTTTTTCGCTGGTTCTCTCCCGAGCTCTGGTATCGATTCAAATTTGCTTCGGCGTGAATGGCTTTGTCCAATACTTCGGCATAAGTCGGCATATCAAGCAAACTAACCCGGTCTTGAATCGGTCCACGTAGCCCACACTCGAACTTCCTGGCCTTCATATATTCATCGTTTGCCATATGAGGTACAAACCTCACAAACTCAGTAAAAGCGCGGTCATATTCCGCTACTGTTCTATTGCCTTGCGTCAGAGTATGAAATTCGGTAGCCTTGCGGTTTTGAACACT